GGGCTCAAGCGATCCTCCTGCCTCAGCCTCCCAAGTAGCTGGTACTACAGGCACATGCTACCACACCTGGCTAATTTTTTCTATTTTTAGTAGAGATGGGGTCTCGCTCTTGCTCAGGCTGGTCTCAAACTCCTGAGCTCAAGCAATCCTCCCGCCTCGGCCTCCCAGAGAGCTAGGATTACAGGCGTGAGCCATGGCACCCGGCCTGAATTCAACTTTTAATCATTTATATACTTCTCCTTAACAGTATATGCAATTTTTTTTAAAATGGCACTATATACAAAAGGGTAAAATACATTCTTAAGATATTCCCTAAATTGAGTTTTCTTTGGCTTTTAGAGCCTGACACATTTGAACAAAAGAAAGAAAATAAGAGTCCCTATGCTGGTGTTTTTTAAGGAAGAACAAATATTGTAAATTAGGATATGATTTGTCACAGTGAAAAAATACTTGAGGTAAAAGACAACTGTAAAAGAAATTTACACTCAAAGGAGTAGCTTTGTGCCCTTCAAGAAACTCTACAGCATACCTTCACATACAACTTTTAAGAAGCAATTAATTAGTGATGCCTTCAAACCTTAAAATATACAAAGGCTGCTGTGTGTACATATGTGTTTTAAAACATTGAGTGTTGAATTCTATATTAGTCTGCTTGGGCTGCCATACAAAATACCACATACCACTGGATGGCTTAAACCACAGAAATTTATTTTCTCACATTCTGGAGGCTGGGAAGTCAAAGTGCCATTCGATTCGGTTCCTGGTGAAGTCTCTCTTCCTAGCTTGCAGATGGCTGCCTTCTCGCTATCTTCATATGGTGGAGAGATCCCTCCCACTACCCCCCTTCTTATAGGGCCACCAGTCCTATTGGATTAGGGCCCTACCCTTAGGACCTCATTGAATCTTAATTACCTCCCAAAAGCCCTATTTCCATTTACAGTTACATTGAGGGTTAGGGCTTCAATATATGAATGGGGGGAGGGGCACACTGTTCCATATATAGCAAATTCTATAACTCCCTACTGTATAATAGCTACCTTTGTAGCTACGTGGGTAATAAAACTGACAATATAAGTGGAGAGAGACTGGGTATGGTGGCTCACGCCTGTAATCCCAGCACTTTGGGAGGCTGAGGGCGGGAGAGGATCGCTTGAGTCCAAGAGTTCGAGACCAACCTAGGCAACATAGTAAGACCTCATTCTACAAAAAATAAAAAATTAGCTAGGCATGGTGGTGCACACCTGTAGTCCTAGCTATTCAGGAGGCTGAGGCAGGAGGATTTCTTGAGCCTGGGAGTTTGAAGTTGCAGTTAGCTATGATTGTGCCACTGTACTCCAGCCTGGGTGACAGAGTGAGACCCTGTCTCTGAAAAAAAAAATAATGGAGAGAAAGGGAATAGAATTCTATACCAGGCAGAGAGGCGACCAAAAACTGGCCTTGGATTTTTCCTTGACTTAGTTGTGAAAACTGATCTAAAACTTTAGTCAGGAAACATTCTAAAAAGATAAATTAGTCTTTTATTAGCACCACCCCCCCTTTTTTAAGAGACAGGGTCTCATTCTGTTGCCCAGGCTGGAGTGCAGTGGCATGATCATAATTCACTGCAGCCTCAAACTCCTGGACTCAAGTGATCCTCCTGCCTCAGCCTCCCAAGTAGCTGGGACTATAGGTGCATGCCACCACACCCAGCTATGTTAGCCTTTTTTAGTGATTGCTGCATATACACTAAGTCTCTGGGTTTTTTTTTTTTTTTAACATAATTAGTCTTTAATTTTGAAACTGATGGATGAAGAAAACGACCCTATAAAGAAATGTTTCTGTTCTGTGACTATTGAAAAATGAATCATTTAATTATTTAGATGGTCATATGAATGAAAAGACAGATTGTTTCAACATGTATCACAATGCTGTCTACAGACTATCCATTGACTCATTAGACTCTGTATATAGTTTTAAAAGCAATTGCTGGTTTGTTTTTCCTTTTTTAAAGTATGATCAGCCAGATGTGGTGGCTCATGCCTGTAATCCCAGCACTTTGGGAGGCCAAGGCAGGAGGATTCCTTTAGCCCAGGAGTTTGAGACTGCAGTGAGCTGTGATTGTGCCATTGCACTCCAGCTTGGGTGACAGAGCAAGGCTGTCTCTTAAAAAAAAAAAGAAAAGGTATGATCAAGGGAGTACTTTCTATTATAGATTTTGCAGCATCCCACATTTACTTTCTTCTTAGAGTTGAAGGCAACTAATCCTTATGCTTTACTGATCTTAAGAATTATCTCACTATTTTGCTGTGTTTCTTGACCCAGAGTACCATCATCAAGGACTGTCCATGAGGGCCTGAAGAATCAGGAGCTAAACTCCACAGACTCAGGTATGAGTGTATGTAATCTTACAGAAAATAGAACCCTTAGTTTCTTTTAATGGACTGTGTCTGAAAATAATTTTAACAATACACTTGATTTATAAAATGTGGCTTCATAGATCACTTGTGACTTTAGAGTTAAAAGTAAGATGTATTTAGTTTAATAATCATCGCTAGGCTGATCTTTCTGCCCATTTCTAATAATTGTAGCTATTCTTCACTGATCACCTGGTGTATGCCAAGGGCTCTGGAGGTTAATATCATCCCTGACTTTAGATAAAGAACCTGAGGCTTTCTAGGCAGTATTCTTTCTTAAGCTAGGTGGGTGAGAGGTGAGGGGGTTATTCTTTTTAAAACTCTTCTTCTGATATGCACACTTTGTATATACATTTCACAATTTATATATCAAAAAAAAAAAAAGCACTGGAAGAAGAGAGTCAGTGCCTGATAAATGAGACAAAGATCCTTGCTGGAGGTTCAAGCCTTTTGTCCAGGTATCTCTCTTGAACTACTCTTAACTTCCCCTGTGCTGGTTGTATAACGCTTATTAGCATCTTGGCTGTGTATATTCTCGCACAGATTGGGCATTTTAATGATCTTTTTTAAATGCCTAGAAAAGAAAGCAAAGCAAAGCTCAGAGAGGTCACACAGTTTATGAGTAGAAGGGCTGGAAATGCAACTCAAATCCTTCTCAAGTTGGACACCTATACTTCCGTCTCCTCCACCTACTACCTTTTCATTACATCATTTATCCATAGAGGATTAGGACTATGTAACTCCTTGGGGTTTTTGTTTGTTCATTTGGTGCTTTTCTTTTTGTTTGTTTTTTTGTTTTTTTTCCTTGAGATGCGATCTCGCTGTATTGCCTGGACTGGTCTCAAACTCCTGGGCTCAAGTCATCCTCCTGCCTCAGCCTCCCAAGTACCTGGGACTACAGGCACCCGTCTACTTGTTTTTGATGCGTTGCTAGCCATTCTGATGCCTACTGAAACTACAGGATTAAGGCATTAATATCTATGTGACTTCAGCCAAGGCCTTCTGGTTTGGGTTTTGTCATAGGTCAGGTTCCCTGGGAAACAGAGTCTGAGACTCTGATATTGCATGTAGGAGTTTCATTGGAGAGTATTTTTGGGAACGGCTCTTGGGAGGAGAGTAAAGGAAGCAGGATTCAACAGAGAGAGAAGTCGAACAACAATGCAGTTCCAACAGAAGTTTCTTCTAGTTCCATGGGGAGCCTTGGAGCTGATATAGCCACCAAAGTTGTCCCCGATTCAGGCATAGTAGCCACACCTTATAAACCAGTTATTGGAAGTGGGCCTCTGCTCCCTCCCTACCTCACAAGGGGCAAAGTGGCTCTCTCCTACTAAGGATGGTCCCCAACTCAGGGCAATTCCTGGATAGACTTATAACTGAGAGTTGTAAGCTACAAACATTCCCATCAACAGGGGCATGAGTGCCTTAATCCCGAAGAGGAGGATTTAGGTGGCAGAGTTCAAATGACAACATAGGCACCAACATGCTGACCACTGTGCTAAGACTGCATTCTTTTTTTTTTTTTTTTTTTTTGAGACAGAGTCTCACTCTTTTGCCTGGGCTAGAGTGAGTGCCATGGCATCAGCCTAGCTCACAGCAACCTCACACTCCTGGGCTCAAGCAATCCTTCTGCCTCAGCCTGCCGAGTAGCTGGGACTACAGGCACACGCCACCATGCCCGGCTAATTTTTTCTATATATTTTTAGCTGTCCGATTAATTTCTTTCTATTTTTAGTAGAGACGGGGTCTCGCTCTTGCTCAGGCTGGTTTCGAACTCCTGCGCTCAAACAATCCGCCCGCCTCAGCCTCCCAGAGTGCTAGGATTACAGGTGTGAGCCACCGCGCCTTGCCAAGACTGCATTCTTAATTAGAGCATTATGAACTTCAGAGTCCTGTCAACAGTGGGCAGTGTGTACACATCTCTTTTCCTTAATGTTGGGTTAATGGACAATATCTATCAGAAGAGCTTCTCTCTGCTTTATATCAAAATGAAGGCATTTTAGTGTTTGAATTTTTCACATAGCTGAAATGCCAACCACTATGAGGAGATTTTTAAAAAACATAATTATGAAGTACAGTATGCATACAAATAGTTGAAGAGGAGGGGTCTTTAGGCCCGATTACACCCCACAGTACAAGAAGAACTTAGAGATGTGGTCATAGCATACTTAGCCCTCAGAGATGGGAGAGCTCCCACAACATCAAAAGCTGCCATATTGATTTGGTGATTTTAAGGACGTAAACAATAGTTCTAAAATAATATTCACCATCAATTCCTAGAAATATTCCATAATAGATTTTTGAATAATTGAGTTTTGATGACCTAGAAAAAGAAATTATTGGTCATCTGGAATCATCAGGGGTTCTTGAAGTAGATCCTATACTTCCTTAAGCAACAGAAATATAGGGCTCTGGAACAATATTGCATTATCCCAGGAACTAATTGGCATATAATTCAGTATATTGTTTGATTTTAGCCGACTGATAAGCTCTGTAAGAATAAGTTAAGTATAAGCTTTGTATTATAAGGTATTTCAAGAGCATTCTCAGACAATGTGTTAAGCTTCAAAATATGTAATTCAAAACTTTATAGAATGGTGCATATTTTTTCCCCTAGTAATTCAGCTTTGGGAACATGGGGTAGCAAATGACTGTTCTGAATATTTGTTTCTCTTCATTTTCCAGTTGTGATTAATGGAAAATATTGCTGTCCAAAGATATACTTCAACCACCGTTGCTTCTCAGGGCCATATCTTAATAAAGGAAGAATTGCTGAGCTGCCTCAATGTGTAGGACCTGGGAACTGTGTTCTGGTCCTTAGAGAGGTAAGGTTCTGGCCTAGAGCAAAAGAGCTTGGAAATTTCACAGCATTCTCCTAGGCTCATTCATATAGAGGGGTGCATGCCATAGACATGACAATTCTAGGTTTTATCAAAAGTTACTAACTTTTCTCATGTATTAGACAGTGAACAGGGCATGTTATTATTTCTACTCCCTAGGAAACATTCACCTAAGTAGTTCTTCACATAGCAGGTTCACCTCTGTCAGTGTAGAAAGGTTGCCTGCCAGAGACCACATGAGAACTGTGCAAGAGTGAACTGTGAGATTAGTCTACAACTGAGAGGCTGTGTGGCATTAATCTAGGGTCCATGATAAAGTTATTCAACAGCCAGTGTGTTGTACTGTGTGTAACAGATATGAGGACATATTGAACATTTTAGCCCTCAGGGTGGCAAGGCAGAGTCTAGGGAAGCTGGAGCTTCTCAGCCAGACTCCTCCAGCCATGAGAAGGCTTAGATGTCTACATAGTGTTCCAAACAAATAAAATTTTCTGTGTATCATGGCTGGGAAAGCATTTGAAAGCATGTGCTAGAGTAATTTGAAATTCATGAATGGTGCCCATTTTTTCCTGACCATAACATTTTGAATGTTTAAAAGGATCTCGTTATTCTCTTATTGCAATTTTGGGCAGCTGTCATATCTTCGGTATTATTTGGTTAATGTTTGTTAATTAATATGTCTAGAATTAATCTCCTAAATGACCATAACATTCTGAGGTATAACAAGAGTGCTGTGGTTCTAATGGTTTGCTTTTCTCCTTCCCGTATTTTTGCTTTAAAACCGAGCTCAGGTCCTCACTTTACTTATCAATGCAGCTTATAAACCCAGTCGTGTCCTTCGGGAGCTCCAGTTGGACAAAGACTCTGTGTGGCATGGATGTGGGGAAGTCCTAAAAGCCAAGTGAGTAGACTGCTCTGTCTTTTATTCTTATTTGTCTTTAATAGGTCACAGAATCAGTTCTGTGAATATCAGAATACTTATATTTCCTAGGGCAGTGCTGCTTCAGCTATTTGTGGTGAAAGACCAGGCTCATTTTCTTTCTTTCTTTGTTTTTTTCAGACAGAGTCTCGCTCTGTTGCTTGGGCTAGAGTGCCGTGGCGTCAGCCTAGCTCACAGCGACCTCAAACTCCTGGGCTCAAGCGATCCTCCTGCCTCAGCCTCCCGAGTAGTTGGGACTACAGGCATGTGCCACCATGCCCGGCTAATTTTTTTATGTATATATTTTTAGTTGTCCAGCTAATTTCTTTCTATTTTTAGTAGAGACGGGGTCTCGCCCTTTCTCAGGCTGGTCTCGAACTCCTGAGTTCAGACTATCCGCCCACCTTAGCCTCCCAGAGAGCTAGGATTACAGGCGTGAGCCACCATGCCCGGCCTCATTTTCTTTTTTAGATTTCCATTCTGTCAAGGATCAATACATTTATAAAATATGGTAAAAATGAATCATAGGAAATATGAAATCTGGGCCAGGCACAGTGCCTCATACCTGTAATCCTAGCATGCTGGGAGGCCGAGATGGGAGAATTGCTTGATTGCAGGAGTTCCAGACCAGCCTGAGCAAGAGCGAGACCCCGTCTCTACTAAAAATAGAAAAATTAGCTGGGCGTCATGGTGTGCGCCTGTAGTCCCAGCTACTTCGGAGGCTGAAGCAGGAGGATCACTTGAGCCAGGAGTTTGAGGTTGCAGTGAGCTACAATGATGCCGCTGCACTCTACCCAGAACGACAAAGCGAGGCTCTGTCTCAAAAAAAAAAACAATAAACAAAAAAAGAAATATGAGATTTCAAAGACATAAAAATGCAAGAATAATTTTTGTTACTATATTTAAAAGATATAAAATTACTTTTTCAAATTACTGTGAAAATTTACAAACATTTACTCTTGCTTTCTGACCTGATCTTATGGATGGATAAAAATTGTCAGGTTGTACTGGTCCTTGGACCACACTCTAAGCATCACTGCCCAGGGTAAAGAAAGACTTAGTGAGAAGTCACTTTTCTTTTTATACTAGTTAGTGAAATTGCTATTTGAAAACCTTAACTTAGGAAAAGAAAGCAGGAACTTTATTTTGCTAATTTAAATAACTCAGCTCTTAGCTGTCATAACTTACCATATTTAATTTGATTTAAGTATGCAGAACTTCCTTATTGTTTTCAGAGTCCTCAAACTATAAAGGACATAGGATATTCCAAGAAGCAAAAATGCTTTTCAGGTATATTAACGTGTTAGATTTTTCTCTGGGTAATCATTAGCCCAGTAAATTTGGCATCTGATGTCTTCCAATGGCAGATATAAAGGAAAGAGTTATCGGGCTACTGTTGAGATAGTGAAAACAGCAGATCGAGTGACTGAATTCTGCCGGCAAACCTGTATCAAACTGGAATGCTGTCCTAACCTCTTCGGTCCACGGATGGTTCTGGATAAGTGTTCTGAGAACTGTTCTGTACTTACAAAGACCAAATACAGTGAGTCATGTTTTTCCAATGTGTTAACTATAGCAGCTGACCATGCCTTACATCCTGGAAGGTTTTTTCTTTTACAGACATTCATATATATTAATAGCAGAGGTACAGAAACTTTTTCCGTAAAGGGCCAGATAATAAATATGTTATGCTGTAGGTCTTATGACCTCTGTCACGTATTCTCTTTTGGTTTTTCCTGTTTTCATTTTTTAAGAACCCCTTTAGGCTGGGCATGGTGGCTCACACCTATAATCTTAGCACTCTGGGAGGCCAAGGCAGGAGGATCACTTGAGGTCAGGAGTTCGAGACCAGCCTGAGCAAGGGTGAGACCCCATCTCTCCAAAAAATAGAAAAATTAGCCAGGCATGGTGGTGCACACCTGTAGTCCCAGCTACTCAGGAGGCTGAGGTAGGAGAATCGCTTGAGCCTAGGAGTCTGAGATTGCTGTGAGCTAGGCTGATGCCATGGCACTCTAGACCAGGCAACAGAGAGAGACTCTGTCTCAAAAAATAAAAATTAAAAAAAAAAAAACCCTTTTAATATTGTAAAAATTGGCCCAGGGGCCCTAATATGCAACTTTTACATATAGCATGTATATAAATTAGCTATTGTGTCTAATAGGATCTGTAATTCACTCATATAATCTTCAAGTATTTATTATGTGCCCACTATGTGCTTCCAGTGTTCTAGCACTAGGATACAACAATAAAGAACAAAATTCCTATCCTCAATGAGTTTACATTTAATACGGGAGACAGATAAACAAGGGAACAAATATATAGAGATAAGTATTATGGGGAACAGTGGAGCAAGGTGAGTAAGCAAGGTAGAAGAGTAAGGAGGCTGGGAGGTGGGGTAGTCTTTGTGCAGGTGGTCAGGAAGTCTTCTGACAGGTAACAACCTAAAGGAAAGAAGAGAGCCAGCTGTGCAGATATCTTGGTGGGAGTGCTCTGGGGAGGGGGGAAGCAAGGCCCAGCCTTGAGGCAGATGAAGAGCAGCAAAGAAGCCAATGGTGGTTGGCGAGGTGGAAATAGCAGGAGATAAAGTAGTTGCAACCTGACTCTGAACAGTCACAGCAACACCTGTTCCCTCATTTTCTCCTTTGTCAAACTGAGACAGGCGTCATATAGGATGAAATTTCCAATTTGGAGCCTTGTCAAGGCATTGCCACCCAAAGACAAGATTCTGGTCCTACCTTTCTTTAAATCCTACAAGCTGTGATGTCACTTGGCAGAATTAATATGGAGGAGGATTTTACCTTGTTCAATTTGAAGGATTTCTTTTAGGGATCTGTGCCTCTTAAACTTTATAGTGCATGCAAATCACCTGAGGATCTTGTTCAAATGGAGGTTCTGGTTTATCAGGACTATGGGTAATCTGGGGCCTGAGTGTCTGTCTGCATTTTCAACAGGCTCCCAGATGCCACTGATTCTGCTGCTCCAAGGTCCATATTTAGCATGACAAGCTTTCTAATTAGTATTCGAATTACAAAATCCTGTAAGAGTCTAACCTTCTAGTTCCATTTATATTTATTGGATTGTAAACTCCTTAAGGGCAGGGATTGATTGTCTTTGCTTTTTATTGTATTAGACTCAGCATTTAGTTTAGGAAATTGCAATTATTAGGAGCTAAGTGAAAGTTACTGTTTATATAAGTACATATAAAAGTACACCACTTTGAGTCTTTGGAAGGAAGATATGTATATTTTATTATTCTTTTGGTCTGAATTTATCTTTCACAATGATGTAGTTAAAATTAGCCTACAATTTAGGAGAGTCTATAATTTTTCCAAATTAGTAATTTGAGTGATGTCAAATGGATTTACATCCTTTAGGAGAATTCATTTTTTGCAGAAAATTTTATTTTGATATTACTTTAAAGTATAACTCAGAGCTAGAATATGTTTCATTTTTAGAATTGTCTCTATATTCTAAAATGTATATGAAAATACAAAGGATCTAGAATGGCCAAAAGAATCCAGATAAAGAAGAATAAAGTTGCAGGACTTTCTCTCTCTTTTTTTTTTTAACCATAAAGCTATAATAAACAAAAGAGTATGGTATTGCCGGGCGCGGTGGCTCACGCCTGTAATCCTAGCACTCTGGGAGGCCGAGGTCGGCGGATCGTTTGAGCTCAGGAGTTCCAGACCAGCCTGAGCAAGAGCGAGACCCCGTCTCTACTAAAAATAGAAAGAAATTGATCGGACAACTAAAAATATATAGAAAAAATTAGCCGGGCATGGTGGCGCATGCCTGTAGTCCCAGCTACTCGGGAGGCTGAGGCAGAAGGATCGCTCGAGCCCAGGAGTGTGAGGTTGCTGTGAGCTAGGCTGACGCCATGGCACTCACTCTAGGCAAAAGGGTGAGACTTTTTCAAAAAAAAAAAAAAGAGTATGGTATTAAAGAATAGTCAGATGAGTGATGAGTCAGAATAGAGAGTCCAGAAAAAGATCCAAACTTATATGGTTAAGTGGTTTTCTACAAGAATGACAGAGACATTCAATGGGGAAAGGAAATTCTTTTTAACAAATAGCACAGGTACAACTGGATATCCAAATTGAAAAAACAAAAACAAAACTCTTTGGTTCCTACGTCATATACAAAACTAATTCAAGAATGTAGACCAAATGTAAAAGCTAAAACACTATAAGGTTCTAGAAGAAGAAAAAGAAGAGAGTATTCTCAAGATCTTGGGGTAGGCCAAGATTTCCTAGAAAGGACCTAGCAATACACTGACATAAAAAAAAAATTAATAAATGAAATTAAAACCGTCAGCTCTTTGAATAATACCATTTATTAAAAAGGAAAAGATAAGCCACAATTTGGAAAAAATATTCTTGATACATATATCCAACAGAAACCTTCTCTCCAGAATATATTAAGAACTCCCACAACTCAATAATGAAAAGAGAAGTTTTGAAACTGAAGAGAGCTGGTGGTTGCATGACATTGTGAATACAGTAAATATCACCAAATCGTATGCTTTAAAATGGTTAATTTTATGTTATGTGAACTTCACCTCAAAATAAATAAATAAATGCAAAGAGAAAACATTCTGGAATTACGTAGTGATAATGGTTGCATAACATAGTGAATATACTAAAAATCACTGAATTGCACACTTTAAAATGTGAATTTTATGTTATGTGAATTATATCTCAATAAAAAAATTTTAAAAAGAGAACATTTAAAAGATGAATAAAAGACTTGAACATATACTTCATGAGAAGAGATAGAAATGGCCAACAAGCACATGAAAAAGTACATAACATCATTAGTCGTCAGAGAAATGCAAATCAAAGCTACAATGAAAAATTACTACATATCCACTAATTTGGCTAAAATGAAAAAGACAGTACTACATGTTGACAAAGGTGTAGAGCAACTAGATGTCATGTATTGCTGATGGGAGTGTAAAATTATACATCCATTTTGGAAAACTGGTAGTTTCTTTAAAAGTTAATAATACATCTATCCTATGATCCAGCAATTCCATTCCTAGGTATTTATTCAAGGAAATGAAAACATGGCAGTTAAAAGTCTTACAAGAATGTTCATTGCAACTTAATTAATGATAGTTGAAACCTGGATACAGCCCAAGTAACAGGAGAATAGATAAACTGGTACATTCCTAGAGTGGATTGCTATTCATCAATGTAAAGGAAATAACCACTCATATATACAACAGCATAGGTGAAACTCAAAAACATTATTTTGAGTGAAAGAAGCCGTACACAAAAAAGTACCTACTGTGTGGTTCCATAGAGCAAAACTAATCTATGGTGATAGTGATCAGAATACTGATTGCTTCTGGTAAGGGGAATTGACTGGGAAGGGACCCTGGGAACCTTCTAGATTGGTAAAGATGTTCTATATCTTGGTATGGGGGGATTATTCAGGTTTATGTATTTGTTAGTAGTAATAAAACTGTACACTTAAGATCTGTTTATTCCACCCTACGGAATTTAAACCTGAATCAAATACAGTGTACCTGTTTTCCGCTACACTAATAAAATCTCTTGTGGTTTTGAGGTACACAGAAATAATGAAGCTACTTTATTTTTCTTTGTCATCCACATTTAGCACACTATTATGGAAAGAAGAAAAATAAAAGAATTGGGAGGCCACCTGGTGGGCATAGTAACTTAGCTTGTTCCCTGAAAAAAGCCAGTAAGAGGAGAAAGAGGCGGAAAAATGTTTTTGTTCATAAGAAGAAACGCTCCTCTGCATCTGTTGATAATACCCCAGCAGGCTCTCCCCAGGTATGAGATCTGTGATGCACCTGTAATGTCTAGAAGCCAAGTGACCACTGCTTTACAATATGGACACAGAAAGAATAATACCGGAAGATCTTTCTAATGCAGATCTCTGGCCTATAAAAGATGGTTTGTGGCCTGGGAACTGGTTTGTTCTGAATTTCAATGAGACTTCTCTTCTTTTATAATTTTCCAGGGAAGTGGGGGTGAAGATGAGGATGACCCAGATGAAGGGGATGATGATTCCCTTAGTGAAGGCAGTACCTCTGAGCAACAGGATGAGCTACAAGAAGAGTCAGAAATGTCAGAAAAAAAGTCATGCTCCTCTTCTCCCACCCAAAGTGAGATCTCCACATCGCTGCCTCCAGACAGACAAAAGAGAAAAAGAGAGCTTCGCACTTTTTCGTTTTCTGATGATGAAAATAAACCTCCTTCACCAAAGGTACCATTTGAAAAATAGTTTCTTTTTTTCTCTCTGTCTAGAATTTCCCTCTAGAATCTAATTGTTGATGATACTAGCATTCCACTTTTTTTATTATAGGCTTGTGTAGAATTTCCAGGGTCTCTTTTAAAATAACGCAGTGATTTACATGTGTTTAAGGATTACTTGGAGATCAACTACTTATAAAAGGGGAAGTCTCTTTCAGATTAGCTATTTGTTTTAAGTTAAAAAATGCTTCATTGGTAGCTTATTTGTAGCCTGTCATTTAGCATTGTCAAAACTGCCTTCTTAATATTTTTCATAATATATATGGTTTTGTAGAAATAAATTATTTATCTTTCTATTTCTGGTTAAGCCATTTGGTTAAGTATATTTAATGTATACATATATACACATTATATCACATATACACTAAAGAATAGCAATTAAATTAGTGTTTTAAAACTGGATTGCTTTTTAAAAACATTTCAGGAACAGAAGCAATAAATGTCTTCTGATAATTTTGGGAAGCATTCTTTCATTGGAATTACCATGCCATTCACTTAAGCACCTTACCAGAAAGTGAACTAAAATAGACCAAGGAACAAATGGGAGATTTAAAACCTATTTTTCTCTGTTAAATTGTCCAAATAATATTTGTGCTGAAACTTTGAGATAAATTCTTTCCCATTGATATTTTATATTATAAAAGACAAACATTTCTTGAGTACCCATGGGCCTTTGCTATCTTTGCTGGGAGAAATCATGTCCTAAGGCCACTTTAAATATGGTCTTGAAGGATTATAAATTTATATAGAGAGACTTTTTTAGAATAAAATAGCTCTTACACCATTTGGTTTTGTTTTGTTCTGGGGAATGAAGGAAATAAGGATTGAAGTTGCTGAGAGGCTTCACCTGGACAGTAACCCCCTGAAGTGGAGTGTGGCAGATGTTGTGCGGTTCATCAGATCCACTGACTGTGCTCCATTAGCAAGAATATTCCTAGACCAGGTAATCACAGATAGATACTTATAATTTTTAGTAATATGTCTCTTTAGCAAAGAACTATGGGTTTAATAGTCAACAATTTATTTACAAATTTTAGGAAAAAATGTTTTGATTCAAAAGAAAAAAATTGTTTAGTTTCACTTTTAGGAGTGGAAAGATGATAAAAAGCTATTTATCAGGCTTGCTCCATAGTTGAAGCAGATTGTCATTGCATTTCCATTTTTCCTAAGAATTCAGTTCCAGCCTCCAAATATTTAAATGGCTTAAAATCAATCATGCCATACTTAATTGTCCTCATTTTTTCAAAAATAATAATTTGCTTATTTTTAAAGAATTATCATCTGTAATACATTGGGGTCTAGAGTGGTGATCAATTTTAAGGCAGGCTTTCTGAAACACGAATAGTGGACTTAAATAAACATTGAAATAAATTTTGTTTTGATACTTGGGGAGGTTCAAAACTGAAGATCTTTGAAGAGCTTATCAGGATTTTATGAATGTTACAGAGTAAGAAAACATTGAAGTTTATAGTTTATATTTTGTTTCAGATATAGAAAGAGCCCTATAAAAAGATGACACAGGTATTCAACCCCCCACTGCTAAATTTGACTGGCTTTTTTAAAAAAAAAAAAAGATGGCACAATTACTTGCCAGTTAGTGTACTGAATTTCTGCCAAGCAAATACTCTGTAGAGTGGATTCTTATCCTTGGTAAAACTGTATTATTTCTTGGTAAAACTAATAAAACTTTATTAATTCTCAAGTTTCATTTGTATAGAGAACTATGGAGGCACTGAAAAGGAAATGTGTGATACTTGTTTAAAAGGAAAAAGTAAGGAAAGGAAAGCACAGGGACCACAATTTTGACAGAGCCACAGTGTACAGGGGCTGTCATGATCAAGCTGCCATTCATATGCACATCACAGATAATTTGTATTTTATACCTCAACAGGAAATTGACGGGCAGGCCCTGTTGCTCCTTACCCTTCCCACTGTTCAAGAGTGCATGGACTTAAAATTGGGTCCCGCCATCAAACTTTGCCATCACATAGAGAGGATCAAGTTTGCTTTTTATGAGCAGTTTGCCAACTGAGAAGGACAACCAAAGTGAACTGGATCTTTGAAGCACAAATACAGTGGATCTTTCTGCTGGCTGTACAAGTGGAGCTGGAATAGTCCTGGGGCTCTGGGCCCTGCAGGTGTCTGCTTGTTCTCTTTGCACTTTCAGGGAAGGAGGACCCATACTGAGGAAGCAAAACTTGTGCACAGAAATGGCTCTTCTGCCAGTGGAAATGTGGACATCTCTTGTGCAGCAGATTGCAGTTTTTAAAAAATAAAGGTTGTAAGGAAAAGACTTACATAAGAAGAATAAGCATTTCCAATGTTGTGGCCCAAAAACAAAGAATAATCTAGGCTGCTGGAAATAACCCTTTTGGTTGTTTTGTTTTCATTCTGTTCCTTCCCATTGTAGATTGAACTTTGTTCTCTGCTTTCTCTTTCTTGGAAAGAGAGGACATAGCTTTAAAGTCAGCACTGATTTGGGACTGTTCCTAAGGCACATCAGTGCTTCTTTGTCATTGTGTTTTTAAGCTTTTTAAAATTAAAACAGTTCTTTTGGGGATGATTATGTGGCTCTAGGGTTTTGAATGCATAGTCACACTTTGATCCATTTAAAAATCTATTCTTAGGAGTTCCTTTGTTTACTACCTCTGTTGATAATTGAGCTTACAGCCATGTATGAGGTTTTTTGTATGATGCCATTTTTAAGCTACATGAACACTACAACTATAACAGAAGTTGGCGGGAGATGGAGGGGCAGGGCGGGAGGACAGTTTTCTTTCTTAAAAACATTATGTGGGCATTTATACTAGTTCCTTAACTGACCTGATCTAAGAACTCTACTATTGTTCTCCATCTTCACCCAGTTTGGACTACCTGTGTTAAGTAGCATTGGAAAGACAGTTAGTTCTCAGAGACTTCAGTGGCTTTTATTTTGTGTTTACCTTTCTCTAGAATTGTTTTTCTACCTCTGTTTCACTTCTAGAGTCCTTACTTGGGGTCAAAATTGGTAGGTGTTCGTTGGACCCACAATAAAGCCCATTTCCCCTCCTTCCTAGGTGTCTCCAGGTAGAGAGTGTAGAATCACAGCAGGGAAAATGTGTTTTGGGGGGTGGTGCAGAGTATGGAATTTGTGTAGCAGTGTCCTCAGCAGCTGGATAAAGATCAAGAGGTGATTCAAGATTCTGGAAACCTCTTTGCCTTGTCACTCTTACACTTTTCTTCAGTTTATCCTTTAAATTAAATGTAATCTAGTCTGAAGATTCTCATTTAAACTACTCGGTGTTCTTCTAGATGTATCTTTTGAGCCAGCTCAAGTTAACATGAAACTCCAGATGAATTTTCACTTGTGATTCCACTTCTAGTCATTATAGAATAATAGCATTTGCTGTATTGTTCCAGCCTGAGGAATGAGGAACAACACATACATAGACTGCTCCTTTAAATGGTTTGCTTTGCTGAGTGTTTTTTTTTTATTATTATCCTACTCACCTGCAAATTTATAACCTAGGCATTCTTCCTCAAGATTTGAAAATTGTTTTAAAACTGCAACCTGGGTAAATTCTAAACAATTATACAAATATAAGGTAATATTACTACAAATTTAAACTCATTGTGATTTTTTTCCTTCCTCCCCTCCGCCAACCTGTTTCTATGGACATTGGCAGACAGTTTGTCGTCCGGATCCTCTCTTCATTGGATAATTCACGAACCGCCTTAACTCAAGCCCTCCACCAAATCATATATTAAAGCATTAACTCATTGCTTAGGTTACTACCAGATATATGTGGAAAGAAGCATCATTTAAGTAAAAGTTAGTATGTTTGAAACTTTGAAATCCAACTTTTAAAAATTTGATTAATTCTGTGTCTGTGGAAGAGAAGCATTATATGATGCTGGGAACAATCGGCATTAAGCAGGTAGGCTTTGAGGGTGGTGATGGTAGTGTTGATCTTGCTTAATAAAATTTCCTGAGAGCTGAGCAGTGAAAGCACTAAGGCAAAGAGGGTCCCTTGAGGAAGATCAATGGAACAAAAATTTTCTGGAATTAATGTTGAGGACCTCATGTTACTGTCTTATTTAGGAAAATGAAATATATTTCCTATAAGAGGGAATTTACCAAATGTGACAACAATGAATACATTATTTTGTCTGTCTTTTGACTTCTCCAGAAACCACAGAATTTAGAACCACTTCCCTTCACAGGTGGGGGGATGAAGCCACTGAATGGTGAAACACATAGCCCCAAGTAATCTCTGATCTGGGTAGAGTTGGGGGCCAAAAGGCTTGTCTGTCTATACCGTGATTATTCAAGCTCAGCTTTCTCCTAGAGAAAGGCTGACTCTAAATGGTCAAAAGAGTGGAGTTTCCTTTAATTCTTGCATTCTCCTACTGAGATATAGTTTATCAGGCAATTGCGTCAAAGAAGAATTATATTCCCCCAGCCCACACTCCCAGATATTACATAACAAGATAATTGTTTGGGAATTTAGCACAGGGCATTTTTTAAAGTTAAACTTTAGATTCCATTTACCTCATAAGGCTGCTGAGGCTGGGCTGGGCTGGATAGCAGTGATGGTCTGATTCCTACGATGCTGAAACAGATTTTAAGCTTACCATGTTGGGGTAAAATGTTTATATGTTGCACATAGGTGCCTGAACTTTGTTTTTTAGACCAACTTCTTAAATTTATGAACGTACGTTGTGAGGGGACTGTGTTTGTCTGGATTTCACCTGTAGTTGGCCCCACAGCCTGCCTGGTCAGAAAATTTTTCATAACCCCTTTTTGACCCTGACTTGATAAGCTTAGAAACAGGTTAATGGACCATTTCATCCTTCTGGACCTTGAAAAGATGGCTGACCGATATCAGACCATATTACTACAATGTTAGTGTGTTAGAAAAACCTTGTACTGCACATGCAGATTTGCTGTGACATTTTGACTGTACTTTGTAGGCTTCTGGGGACTATGCTATTTTCCTTTATAAGCCACCTTCATCCTTCTCATTTGAAGCAGAGTTGAAGTGGCTAATATAAGGAAGACATTAATGGGAGCTTTTACCCTACCTGCCTTTCTTAGCAATGTAGGTGGCTCCCAGCACACATCTACGTTATACATACATAAGGTCAGGGAAGGGTACTTACCAACCTCTGGAAAAGATGAGCTTCTTGGTAAATATTTGTTGACTTTATGATAGAGACAAACACAGGAAAAAAGTTTAGAACTTGGCCTTTATATGTCTTTTCTCCTTAAAGTAAAATTCTCACTGTGAGAGAGAGGGCATTGAATACATTTTACTTGCTCTCTAGTACCAGTTCAGTCACTAATGTGCTACATGAATACAGTTTAAAAAGTCTAGGAGGCCTTGTAGTCACAGGCACTTACATTTATTTGGCACCTATCACCAAAGACTGTTCTATTTAAGACACCATTTACTGGTTTGATTTATTCCCACAGCTCTGAGAGAGTTATTAGGAGGTTAGCCTCTACAGTGGAAGCACACGTTGGATTTGAACTCTGGCCCTACATATTGAAGATGTTCTGTGTGTGTATATACACATGCAAGTTCAAAAATGTTGTGTCATCAGTAGGAAATTTGTTGGCCTTAGGAAGATGAAGGAGAAGATATCACTAAGAGAAATGCAGTATAAATCTTTGTGGGGACCAGGTACCACCTTTTTAAGCTTGAATTTTAATTTCCTTGTTCCCAGGTCCACTGTAAGTAACCATGTGTCATGGTCGTGGTGCTGACTCAGAAACTATGTAGGACAGACAGCCTCCTGCAAAACCAAAAAGAAATAAGTCATTTTCCTGCAATTATAATTCTTCATTGACTTTATTCCCTTTAAATGCTTTACTAGTGAGTTTTGCTGACTTCCATTCCTTATGTGAGAATGTACATACTTTGGAAACTTGAATTTATCCAAATAAGCTACCTATGACTTGGGATTTGGTATAAGAGTTCTAATCAGCTAAATTCCCAGTCCAAATGGCTCTGGTTCCAGGCCCACTCACCTAGGGTGTTTTCCTCAGTACATGGTTCAGACCACGCAGGTAGCCTTGTTTCTGAGGGCAGCTTTAGGGGAGAGGTATAGAAGGTGGTGGGCATTAAATGCACTGCAGATTGATTTTCTTGGTTGTGGTGTTTAGGAAGTCTGAGATTTTCACAAGAACCAGCAAAACCAGTAGTGGAGGGTTGGGGGGATGGAGAAGTAGGCCTAAAACTCCCTCTTCTTATGTCTTTTCTGACTTAACACACCACTGGGTCTGTCCTGGTGCTATGGCCTATTACAAAGGACAGTTTTAAAAGAGAAACAAGCCACACAGCCTAGTAGGACAAGTCTTCAACACCAGCACTAAAGCGTGGACCAACCCTGAGCCATGGGAGGTAAGGGTCTCCCATTATTTCCAGAAGCAAAGGATAATGCTGACGAGTGAAGTGGTGCCACCATTGCTGATGAGAGTGCCTGTTCTCAGGATGTGTGGAAACTCAGGCCTAAGGGTTTCTACATGGTTTATTCAATATAACTGCATGCCTACCGTGGCAGAATGGAGGTAGACAAAAGTGTTGAAAGGGTAGGCTTTAGCAGATGATTGAGGGAGGTTACAAAGCTTAGGCAAAGTTAGAGGTGGGCAGTCTTTTAGCTCTTTTTGCATGAATCTCTGCGGAAGGTAGTTTGAATGTTTCTCTTGAAATTTTAAATGCTCATTTCTTTTTCTCTCCCTTTCTTCCTTTTTTCATTAAATATTTTCTAAAGACAATCAGAGGCCTGCCAGGGAGGGACTCCTGGCTGGTTCCAGCACTGTCCTTGGGCCTCTTTCTAATTCTAACTCATTGGAACTGATGCACTTTGTTTAATGTATTTTGCCTTTTTTTTTTTAAGCTGCTTGTTTAGAACAAAATGAAATGCTTATTTCATTGTATCCTTCCTGCTTGCTGTTTTTCTTCGTAATTTCAAAGTTATGCATTGAAGATAAAGTACAATTAAGGAGAAATATGCACAAGAATACCTATTAAAATAACTACCGTCAAGTTTGATGGTATAACTTTAAAGGATTAAAAAAAAACTATTTTGGATGAATATTTTGTGTGGTTTTTTTTTTTTTTTTGTAAATGTGATTGTATATAAACTGTGGTACATTATGACAGTTTTAAGTGGTTGTGAGAAAATTAAAGAAAACAGGTCTTAAGCTATGTTTAACTTTATTTGTCCTGATTTGACAGTAAGGAAGGCATTCTGGCCAGACCAAATTCTTCAAAACTCTTCCCAGTGGGGCCTCAGAGAATCATTTCTGAGTGAATGAGAAACTTCCTTCCTACTGTAATAAAATTCCAAAGTTCTCCCCGCTCTCTTGCTGTCTTATCCTACTTCTGGATTTAGGTATGCTTTTTTTTTTTTTTTTTTTTTTACCACAAGATCTCACTACATTGCCCAGGCTGGTCTCGAACTCCTGGCCTCCCGCCTTCCCCCCACCTGAGCCTCCTGAGTAACTGAAACTACAGGCACATGCTGCTTTACTTGGCTCAGGATTTAGGTACTTTTTCATTGTTTTAATATTTATTTA